GGAGGGGGGGAGGGAGAGGGGAGGGGGATGGGTGGAGGGAGGGGGATTGGAGGGATCACTTCTGAGGTTTATCTTACAGGGGTACAAGTGTATCTTTCTAAGAGTAGCATGTGAATGTTTTAAAACAATAACTGAGAAAATGACATGAAGGCTGTGTTGACCAGTTTGATGGAAGTGTTTCGGATTGTATGTGAAAACCCCACACTGTACCCCAGAAATGCATTAATGTACATATTACCATTCAATAAAAAAAAAAAAGAAAGAAAGAAAAGGTCTGTGCATGAGTTTTAAAGCACAAATAGGTAAGATATGGGGATAGTGGTGAGGATTACAGGATGTACCTTCATCATTCACCACTATTGAGGGGACTTAACAAGATTCCTGGTGACAGCTAAAGTATAATCCAGACTTCTTTATATACCAAATGGCAAGATCAAATATTGCATTGAGGAGGGAAATGTTCTCTTCATGTCTGAGCTTCCATTATGAGGCTCCACTGTTGATTAACCTCAAGCCAGTTGGGACTTATGGCTGAAGAGTTCAGGAAAGATCAATAGCCAATATGACTGTCAGGCTTTGAAGATTGGACTTGATGCTGAGGGCAAAAAATCCAAGGATGGTGGTAAAGTGAAAATGAACTTTCCAACATATAGTAGATAACTGCAATATAGTCTAGAAGGTACATACAGTGTGCAGGTAAGGACAACAACAATGCCTTGCCTGTTAATCTAAGTGAGAGGTTAACAGTGGCTTTGCTAAATAAAGTGCCAACAGAGGCAGTAGTAAGTGGTTATTAATTATCTAAAAACAGTGTGATGAATGCTTAGTATTTAGTTAGAATCATTCTAGGCCCTGGGGCCCAAGAGTAAACATCTTCAGTTTACATTTAAGTGTGGAGACACACGGAATAGACAAATAAATAAGTACTTGCAGACAATGAGTATTACTAAGGAAAAGAAAAGTTTGGGTTCAAGTTATGAGGAGAGTGGCTACTTTACATAGTGTTACAATTGCAGGATTTCTTGAATGCAATATCATCTTATCAGAAACCAGAAGGAAGATATTATTCAAGGTGGTGGGACTTGATTACTAATTAGATGAAGGAAAGTGGTGAGGGGCAGGGAGTGTAGGGTGGGAGAAGGAAGACGCATGTGAAATGTCAGAATCATGCCAGCCCCTGGGTGAGAGGAGGATGGATCTACTTATCCAGTGAGATCAAAGTGCAGTAGAAGCAGTTTGGGGAAGGAGGAGAAATGCCCTCAGTGTTGCACAGGTGGAATTCGCGGCATCTATGTCTCTCTCCAGGCTGCTAGAGCTCTGGAGACAGATCACAGTTGAGACAGGGGACTCAGCAGGCACTTTTGAGAAAAATTGCCAATTTGCAAGTGCTTGAGAAAGCCCAGGGATTCTGTGTAATTAAAAGTATAGAGATTCTAGAGTCATGCAAACCTTTTTGAGACTGATAGAAATAGAGGATTAAGGGAGTGTTGAAAAGAGGCACTGTCTGAAAAATAATAGTAGAAGGTTAAAAGGTCAGGATTAATGGGAAGCCAATGAAAAGCTGACTTTCAGAAAGCCACAAATTTGGAGAGTGGAGAAGAAAAATATGGTAGTCTGTGTTAGTACTGGAGATGTTAGACTCAACACCTAGCTTGGACGGTTTATTAGGGACAAGCAGAGGGGCTGGCTAGAGCTCTGCTGCCACATAGTAGAGTAGGTAGACTTTGCAGATTTGGGTTCCAGTGGTGACAGAGCCTTGTAGATACAAGGTGGGTGTCAGGTGAGGTCTGAGAACGAACTCCGCGCGCCACCTAGGGCCCATATTTTACAGCACACTAACCATTTCCTTCCAGGAAGCATTCAAGAAATTGTTCCAGTGACTTTGGTTTCTTAGCGAAATTCACTGAACTCCAGAAGAAATAGCCAGATATAATAACATCCTTGGGATTTCTAATGAGATAAATCACCTTAAAGGGAAAAATAGGAGAATTAAAAATCAATGCATTGATTTCCTACTTTTTAAAATTTTCGCAAAAATAGAGAAAAAGCCAATTCTTAGAAAATGTTTATTGAACATCAGTGAATTCTTTTAATAAATTACATGGGGATTTTATCAATCAAATATAAAATTTAAAGTTCCTGTGAAATATTCACTGTTCCAAGAATACAATACTAAAAGAAAAAAACATTTTTCTTGTTCTGAAGTATATTAGTCTACTCTCAATAGGAAGCAAATGGAGTATTTTGAAATGTGAGAGATTTTGTATTTGTGTAGATAGTTTAAAGATCACTAACAGGAGAATGGATTAATATGTTATGGTGCATTTATAGATATATAGAAATATATATCCATACATACATCTAAGGCCATGGATGAATGTCACTGACATCACATTGAGTGAAAGAATCCAGGCTTTCAATAGTTCATGCAGCATAACTCTATTTATATGAAGTTCATGTAAAACTAACCTATGGTTCTATGTCAGGGCAGGATTTACCTCTGTGTGTGGGCATTGATTGGGAAGGGGCATGAGGGAGTAGAAATGGAAAGGTTCTGGATTTTTACCCAGATGAGGGTTACACATTATATTTTATGTAAATACTCATCAATATTATTACACACACATACCGAGGCAAGGTTACTTGCCATCTGAGCATCTAAATTTTCCTTTGGATTCTGTACTCACTCTCTTTGTGATATTATTCTCATCTCTCTCTAGGCCTCAGTTTCCCTACACAGGAAAACAATTAAAGACAAACACTTACCAAACACTTTAAGATACATATAGGTAGGTGTTACGACACGTAACAAATTTATTGTGCTGCTGCACAGTGTATACTTTCCACATGAGGAGACAGTTCTGCTAAGACTCTCAATTTAGTTTAAGCAAAAAAACATTTTGTTAAAAATCACAAATCAGTAAATACCCTGTAGGAAAGCGTTTTTGATTCATTTCTTTTCTTCTCTTGTCTATTTTCTTTTCTCTTTTTTTCTTATAAGTAAAGAACATTTCTAATAATGGTCTAATATTTTTTAGATCCAGGAAAATGATCGTCCCTTCTGGTGATCATTATTCAGCCACTGGGGAGATCCATGTGGCTGCTCGTCTCTATCATAGACAGATACACACAGTAAGACACAGAGGTTGGAAAAACTATCCAGGGTGTCAGAGCAATCACCTTGTATTTTGGCATTGATTTACAAATGTGCTACTTCTCATATGAAAAATTCTGTGCTTATTGAATTAACATTGGTTTACTACTTATGTGGAACAACCAAAAGTGTCTTAACTAGTATATAATGCAGTTCTAAATTCTAGCTGGGTTTAAAATATAGTTTTCTAAGATTCTGGCACTATCATGTCGCTTTGTGCCTGGTTTGTATCTGGCTGGGGTAGTCTGTGGAAGGGTTCATAGCCATGCATTCAAATATGGATCCGGGAACAGCCACACTGGCCTCATAAAAAGAACAATCTCAGGTCCCATAGACCTAGTAAATAACAATGTATTTTGACAAGGTCTCCACAGTGATTTACAAGCACATTAACCTTTCAAACTCATTAGTCACATATCTCTTGATCATTATGCACTGACCTTGGCCTTGGAACTGAAGAAAGACTTGGGGAAGAGATGGCTGGGGAGGTGGGAGCTGAGCAAGCGTGGGCCCTCCTTCTTATTTGCTGATGCAAACCTGGGCTCAGTCTCTATCCAGGGTGAGCGTTCCCACGTGGGCACAGACTGGATCCACTTGGTATCCCCCTTGGAGTGAATCAGGCAGAGAATCTCAACCAACCAGTGTGTTCCTGAATAGAGAAGGAAAAATGGTGATCACTCATTTCAATCTCACTTTTAAAAAAAAATATGGTAAAGGCTTGAGGCCTATAGCTCAGCTGCTAGGGCACTGGCCACATACACGGGGGCTGGCAAGTTTGAACTGAGGCCTGCCAAACAGCAATGGCAACTACGACAACAACAACAACAAAAATTATGGTAAAATAAACAGAACATAAAATGTACCATTTTTTAGCAGTTTACTAGTTAAGTATGTTCCCATTGTTGCTCAACCAATCTCCATAACTTTTTAATCTTGCAAAACTGAAACTCTGTACTTATAAAACAGCAATTCCTCATCCCCTCCTCCCTCTGCCCCTGGCGACCACCTTGTATTTTCCCTTCTGTGAAATTAACTACTCTAGACACCTTATATAAGCATATAAGGAGAACCACGCACTATGTGCATTTTTGTGATGGGCTAATTTAATTGAGTGTAATGTCCTCAAGGTTTATCCACACAGTAGCATGTATCAGCATTTTTTCCCTTTGGAAGGATGAAACACTTTCCCATTGTATCTATATTCCACAGTTCATTTATTCCTCATCTGTCAATGGGTGTTTGAGTTGCTGCCAGCTTTTGGCCATTTGCTGAAGTCTTTGAATATGTTCCCATTGCTCTTGGCTTTTCAGAGCCCTGCCACTTGAAGTGCTTTTGGCCTCAATATGCCCCATTTGCAGACTCTTACCCTCCAGTCCACTCCCATCAAGATAATGACCTACATCTCCCAGTCCCTCTGATTTTTCAGGCCCTAACCAATTCCTGACCACCATCCATGATGATTTTACTATGTGAAAATATCCTTCCTCACTAAGTAATTTCCCTTTCTTTCTTTTCATTTCAACTTAGATTCTGTTTTTTCTATTAAGATCATTCTTCTCCCAGCACTTTGGGAAGCTGAGATGGGAGAATAGATTTTGAGGCCAGTGTTAAAGACAAGCCTAAGCAATATAGCAAGAGCCCATCTCTATAAAAAAAATAAAAAGAAATACATTAGCTTGGTGCATGCCTGTACTTCCAGATACTTGGAAGGATCTCTTGAGCCCAGGAGTTTCAGGCTGCAGGAAGCCATGATTGAGCCACTGCACTCCAGCTGGACAATGAAGTGAGACCCTGTCTCACAGAGAAAAAAAGAGGGAGAAAGTGCTCCAACCATCTACTGAATGAATGAGAAACCCAACCACAGCCTTTCTCAGTACAGGATTCTGTTTCCTTACCTGATTTGGGGAAAGTGATTATTAATACATCTTCATCCTTTATCACAAGTGCTTCACGTGCTTTCCTTAGGATCTCAGTGTTATAACCCTTCTTCGGGAAAGGGATCCCTTCATACCATAAGTTGTCATCTGACATGATGATCAGGTCCTCAGGCTTCCCGTTAGGGTTTCAGCTGCAGAAACTGCTGGAAGCTGTGGCAGCTGCTGGCAGATTAGGTTTTATAGTAAACAGATAACAATCAGCAATCTCTGCCCAGTTATTTGGGAAGTTTGCTGGCTGATAAGGAGAGGTCAGTATTGTGACCAATAGTCAATAGAGAAATCCTATTGGGAAACTGAATTTAGAAAACATTTTGAAGATAATGTGAGTAGAATTCATAGAAGTGAAGTGGAAATTCTCTAACAAATGCAAGGACATAAAACTGTGTCTATATTAAAAATAGTTTTAATCAGTGTTATTTTTTATAAAAGTTTTAGATTTACAGAAAAATTGCAAAAAGAGTCCAGAGGAATCCCATTGTCTAGACTTCACTCAGATTTCCTGAATTTTTTTTTTTTTTTAAACAGAGTCTCACTTTGTCACCCTTGATAGAGTACCACGGCATCATAGCTCACAACAACTTTTAACTCTTGGGCTCAAGTGATTCTCTTGCCTCAGCCTCCTGAGTAGCTGAGAATGCAGGTGCCCACCACAATGCCCAGCACTTTTAGAGATGAGGTCTCACTCTGGCTCAGGCTGGTATTGAACCTGTGAGCTCAGGCAATCCACCTGTCTCAGCCTCCCAAGTGCTAGGATTACAGGTATGAGTCACTGTGCCCAGCCCAAATTTCCTGAATTTTTACCTAATGTTCTTTTTCTTCTTCAAAATCTCATCCAGGTCATCAGGTTACATATCATCATCAAGTCTCTTTCAGCTCCTCTTAGCTGTGACTGTTTCTCAGACTTTCTTTGTTTTTGATATCTGAGAATTTTGAGAAGTACTGGTCAGTTACTTTGTAGATTGTCCCCTCAGTGGGACTGGTTGGATTTTTTTCTCATAATCAGACTGGATTCATGAAGAGAAAGGTCATAGAAACAAATGGCATTATCATCACAAAATATCAAGGGTACTTAATATCAACATGGCCCAGGATGACATTAATTAACCTTGGTCATCTGAGCTCACATGTTTCAGATTTCTTCCCTGTAATTTTCCTTTCCCCTCCTCCCTTTCTCTGTGGGCCTGCCTTAAACATAAATTCTAGACTTGAATATAATCATAAGATCCCATTGCCTAAACCCCAATCAGAAACATTCTGCAAAATACTAAGCCTGTCCTCTTTAAATTGTCACATGGTCATGAAAACAAAGAAATGGAGCACAAGTCTCAGAATGAAGGAACATGAAGCTAAGTACTGTGTCAGTCCTGGACCACACATGCACACCATGCTGTAATTATATCAATGGAGCAATTGCCCAAATCTGAACAGACAATGTGGATTTAGATAATGTTGAATAATTTTATATCACTATCAGTTTCCCTGATTTCTATAATTTTCCTGTGGACATACAGCATTTATCTTTGTTCTTAGAAAATATACACTGAAATTTGGAGGGATAAAAGAATAATTGGCCAGGCACAGAGGCTCACAACTATAATCCTAGCACTGTGGAAGTCTAAGGTGGGAATATTACTTGAGCTCAGAAGTTCAAGACCAGGCTTGAGCAACAATGAGACCTCATCACTATTAAAAGTAGAAAAACTTGGCCTGTGACCCATAGTCAAAGCTTAGAGGAAGGAGCACCTGGCCCCATGAGTTTGAGGTTGCTGTGAGCTGTGATGACACCACTCCACCCTTGCCTGGGTAACAGAGTAAAATTCTACCTAAAAAAACAAAAGACAAAAAAAAAAAAAACTATCTTCTTCAACAACTGAGGCAGTAATAACTGTATATTTACATGAAAAGAATGAAGCTGGACACTTACCCTATAATATATACATTAATTAAAAATGGATCAAATAACTGAAATATCCTAAAATTCTTAAAATAAAGATACGGGTAAATGTCCATGACCTTGAATTTGCCAGTGGTTTCTTTCCCAAGGAAACATCAATTTACATGCCAAGGAAGAAGAAAAAATGGATGAATTGGTGCATGTTGAAGTGAAAAACTTTTGTGCCTCAAAGAACACTACCAAGACAGTGGAAAGAAAACCTACAGAATAGGATTATATTTCTGAACAAATAAAGAACACCTACAATTCAACAATAAAAGTCAATTTTAAAAGGGCCCAAAACTTAAGTAGACATTTCTTCAAATAAGATAAGCAAACAGCCAACACATGCAGGAAAAGAGGTTCAAGGTTATTAGTCTTTAGAGAAATGCAAATCAAAAGTACTTCCTATCCACTAGGGTCACTGGAGAACATCGATCCAACCAATAGGACTTAATTTGTCTTTTCAGAATACTACACCTAAAAGCAATACAATACACAATCTTTTCAAGTCATAAGGCTTATTCACCAAGACAGGTCAAATGCTCTGCAAAGCTCAACAAATGTCATCAATTGGAAATAATATAAATTACTCTCTTACACTAATGGCATTAAATTCTAAACCAAGAACCATAAGATATCTATAAATCTTCAAATATTTTTAAATTAAGCAAGAAATACCTGAATAACCCATGCATCAAAAAGTACTAATAATCTTTGTCCATTTTTTAAATTGTGAGTTCTATTGTGACACCGAAGTAAGCTCTGTCTTCCAAAGACATCACAGTTGCCCTGCCTTTTCTCTGTGTACAGTGAATTGTGAGGTCTTGTGCCCTTCATTGCAATTCCATTGCCAGATAATTGACCTTTTGTTTGGAAGAAATAATGTATATGTTCCTGTGTCAGTCAATCCAGCATTCTGTCAGCCCCCAGATAGTGGTGATGGCTGAGGCATTATATACTGGAAGGTATCCATTTTGACACCAACCAGCGCCCGCTTTGGGCTGAAATGGGTCTGATGTGCTGACTTTGCTGCTAAGTGATTGCTTGGCACCCCCTATAGGGATGCACCACATGAAGAGCTCAGAGCTGATCCTGGGACCAAAACATCAGACATGAGAAAGCAGCAATAGCTGGGTCAGCAATCACTATAGGATCCCCACGCTTTCAACACCGTATTCCTTGTAACTCCTTACTCATGAGCCTGGGACCTGGGCAGGGAGCACTCCCTCTGCAGTGAAGATGCCCTGAGTGGGCACAGATGTGAGGCACAGAGCTCTGCACACTCCTGTCACCCAGTAAGTCTGCCCACATGCTCCTTCCTCTGAACAGTCCTGATATGCATTGAGGAAGAAGCTGATTCTGTTCATTCCAGATCTTATCTGGCCAAGCCACTTAAGATTGCCCATCATTAGCTCAGGACAGTCCTATGCCATGAAGCAAAATGAATCAGATCACTGTGGTACAGTGTGAGCTTTGCAAAGTCATTTATGGTACAGTCTTGCCAAACATTTCTGAGTCCCATTATGTCCTTAGGCCCAATTTTGAGTCTATAAGAAACTATACAAAGGAACCTGCTAAATGTCACCCCAAGAAAGCAAAGCTCTCTGCATCATGCTATGCCAAGGCCTTTCTCCTGTGAGTGAAACATGGGATTCAGGCCAATGGGGTGAGATGATGTTAGGGGCATTGGTTGTCGTGGGTTAACTGGGGTTTCAGATACAGTGGACTCCAGTGGACTCTGGATGGTGTATGCAGAAAATGCATTTATTGAAATGATAGCGGGACCCTACAGAATCTCTACAAAGTCTAGAGAAGCTGACTTAGAAAGCAAAAAAGAAGAAAAGGAGCAAGGCATCCCCACAACCAATACCACATCCCAGAACAAGTCCTTTGAGGACCTCACTGCCATCAAGTGCTAGATGCTTTATCACTGTAGGCTACATGGGTGAGGGATCCTGAAACCACTCCTGAAAATGGAGAATTTTTTATACTGGGAGTGAATTCCTCTGCACTTATTGTCTATGCTCAACCACCACAGAGCAAGAGAACAAAACAAGGTTGGGAACTGTTTGCCATGAGCAGATGCAGGCAAACCTACCCCTAAGGGTTTAGGGAGCTGAGAAGCCAGAGAAAGACGGTAACAAATCGTTACCTGAGTTTCTCAGGCAGAAATACTCAATAGGGACTTACGAAAAACCTGAAGTGATGTCTCGGTGGTTGAGAGATATTGGGTTCTCACATCCGCCCTCTAGAAAACATTCTGGTTTCTATACCAAGGTTTTAGAGTAAAACAGGAGCAGCTGGTCATGTCTTAGATGTTCTTCAGAAACTCATGACCACTGGAGAGGTTAGATAAGCACAGTAGAACCTCTGTAAGTTGACTTCCAAAGGACTTTAGCAAACTGGTCAATACACAGAGATGGTCAACAGAAGGAACTAGAACTTATATGTACATGTGATACATGTTGGTCCATGAAAATTAGCTCAATGGGCTTGGCACTCATAGCTCAGTGGTTAGGGCACCAGCCACTACTCCAAAGCAGGCAGGTTCAAACCCAGTCTGGGCCTGCTAAACAACAATGACAACTTCAACAAAAAAATAGCCAGTTGTTGTGGCAGGTGCCTGTAGTTGCAGCTACTTGGGAAGCTGAGGCAAGAGAATTGCTTAAGCCCAAGAGTTAGAGGTTGCTATGAGCTGTAATGCCACAGCACTCTACTGAGAGTAACACAGTCAGATTCTGTCTCAAAAAAAAGAAAGAAAATTAGGTCAATGTAAAGAGGTGGTCAATGTAGGGAGGTCATCATCTATGGAGGGTCTACTGTACATTTATGATGAGTTATGTAGGCTGTAGGCATAGTTGAAAGACTTTGCTGCAGAACATTTTACCATATAGGTGTGAAACATTGGTCAAGGTGGTTTATCTTCAAAATGGCATCACCTTTTTTATGCAACAGGCTGTTTTCCTGTAGGAATTATATGTTCCTAAGGCCATAATAATAATAAATTGTAAATATACACCTGATGGGAAGAGAAGGGTCCTCAATTGTTTCTATGATTTGTTTCTTATTTTTATTATTATTTGTTCTCATCTCTATACCTGTCACTCTTTCTAATTTTTATAAAAAAATTTGGCAGGCTTCATAGCTCATCACTGTAA